GGGGGAGGGGAGGGCAGGGGTGGAAAACTGTTTGGGAATTTCTAGTTGTTTACAATTGAATTTACACGACATCGATTGAATATGTAATTAAATCCTGATGCTAATACAGTATCTTGGTCCCACAAATTAATCCTCGCAAATTTTTTTGTACAATCGAAGAAAACAAATATTTATTTTCTCCGAAAGGCACGCATGCGCAAACGTTTTTCTCTAGTGTCACGGAAATGAATAAAACAAGTACTTACGGAAAGTCCTGAGTTATGAGCTCCTTCAATGGGCTGAGTGACGATACTAGTGAGTCCACCGACCAGACCCATACCAAGACCCTTGACTCCAGCAACAAAGTGTTCCCTGCTGCTGTCATAGCGCTCTGCTCGCATTGCTTGACGCGATTCCTGGAATTTGGTGTCCATTGATGCGTTCCAGAGACCATCAGATAATGAACCTGTGATCTTTATGAAGAAAAAAAAAAAAAATAATATGTGAAATATATTACAGCGCTCCTCAATCACACGCGTGAAATCGTACAACTTGCCATCGTGACGAAGTAGGTTTTGGTGGACGTCAATCAATGCGTTTCCATGACATTCCATTGCTGGCTTTCACTATACTTTATTTTCTGTCTCGTGCAGAATGTTCATCAGCTGAATCGCAAGTTTTTAATAGGATTCTTTTTGGTTGACAGCACATGGTGGTCAGTGCTCGAGCACCATTTGGAGCAGATAATGAGATTCAAAAACTTTTATCAGCTGAATGAAAGCCAGCAATAGGCACGTGCCCTTAAAAGCTTTGTGTTTTTTCGACAATGCAGGAAAGTACTTCGATTGGAAAGGGAAAAAAAGGAAAGGAAAGGAAAGGAAAGGAAAGGAAAGGAAAGGAATGCAAGGGGTAGGAAAGGAATGGCAATTACTGGAATCATTTTCAAAAGTTAAAAACAATTTCTCCATTAAATCGGCAAACCAACCTTCGCAGCTGAATCAGACACTCCATGAGCAACATTCACAAAAAGTCCACCAATATTTCCTCTTTTGACAAGGCCCTCTAGACCAGAAGACACATCATTCAGTAGACCCATGGGATTACCAAGGAAGTCTATGGATCCTACGATGGCTGCTGCCTGGCTGCGAAGCTCCTGTTAAACACAAATAAGGTGTAATTTAGCTTGGGCGCAATCTTTCCCCAGACCAAGTGTCATTCCCTTGAGTGCTATTTCTTTTTCTTCTTTTTCAATGTTTCCCCAGACCAAGTGTTATTCCCTTGAGTATTATCTTTTTTTTACGCATTAGTTACTAATGGACTTCTTTACCCTGCGTGTAATGTTTTCCAACGTGTCATTCCCTTGAGTGTTTTTCTTTTCTTTACTAGTATCGCGTTAGAAGGAATACTAATGACTTCTCTACCTTGGGCGCAATGTTTTTCCATTTCAGACCACGTGTCATTTTCTTGAGCATAGAATTATTTAAGTCACATCCATATTCATGTGTCTTTTCATGCGCATTCGTTAAACAAAGAAATGATACTCTAGGGGATGACACGTGGTCTGAAATGGGAAAAACATTACGCCAAGGGTAAAGAGGTCTCAGGTACCCCTATCTTGATGGGCCTTGACTAAATGACTGGTGATCCTCTAGGGAATGACACAAAATGGGTTGGTTTCTTACCTCGTAGTAGTGTTTGCTCATGGAGTCAAGCAGTGAATTCAAGCTTTCAAACAGATGATTTCGAGAAAACGATTCTGAAAAATAAGAATGAATTTCTTAAAAAAGAGTGTAATTAATCCAAAAGTTGCATGATGATGATGACGATGATAATAATGATGATGATGATGGCGGTGATGATAATGATAATGATGATCATAAATAATAATGATGATGATAATGATGGCGATGCTGATGATGATGGTGATGATGACGTGGACTGACTCAGTCTGTGGTGTTGCTGGTCATGATATTTGGGACTTTAAGATTTGGCAAAATCTACGACGGCGACGACGTCAACCGGAAGTGTAAATAACTTCACTTTGGGATTTTGCGCCTTCAAAATCTGTCTTCCCTGTGGATGAGTTGACTTTACTTACAATGTTTTGAATGAAATCTCCAATAAACAGAACCCCAAAGAGAAATATTTACACTTCTCGCCGCCGTAGATTTTACAAATCTTAAAGTCCCTATTGATGTAGAAGACAGTGATCTTGTGATATGTTGCTGCTGCTGCTGAAGTTGTTGTCGTTGTTGAGGATGATCCCATCACACACCCTATCTCACCTATGCATACTTTTGTGCCAGTATTTACCTAAGTCTAATGTAGCATCCTCCAAATTGAACAGAATCAAACCAAGTGTTTGCTTGAGTCTCAGAAGATCTACTGGTAAGCGTCCTGCTGAAGCCACCGACACCTTTAGCTCCAGGGGGTTCAGTTGAAGACGTTCGAAATAGTACTTCTTGGAAGCCGTGGTTGAAACTGAAACAGCCCTGTACCATGAAAATATAGTCATGAAGTTAAACACAATAACAGATCAAATTCAAATCAATTTGCAATTAGTATCGTTATCGATAACTTTGAAGGGGTTTTTGGAAGATATTTCCCCAAAGTGAATCTTCATTATTTTTTTCACTGATCCCAAATAAAGTTCGACGTCCACTCATAGAGATGGATAGGGATCAGATGATGATTGGTTTAAAAAACAAAGCATCTCACATTCTCAACGACCAATCATCGAGTTTTGGCCATTTTTAGTGATGAACTAAAGGCTCTGTCTTACTAACCTCTGATTATCGTATAACGATTCATCGTCTTCTTCATTCGTCACAGTGACATCCTCATCTTGTTGTACGTAACCAAAAAACTGGAGGAGCCTAAGAAGGAGCCTTTCTTCCATGTGAAGGGTCATGTTGCGTAACGACACGTCCAGAGACTTAGGGGAAAATACAATATAGAAAAATCAAGAAAATAATATTAAAAAAGTAAGGTTGAATGGGAATAAGATTTAGTTATATTTTTAATCATTGCTATCGTTCCCATGAAAACAGTTGAAAAGTCTGCCATGTTAGTTGACATCACGAAAGAAAACTAGTGCAAATATTTTGTTTAAGTCAACCTTGGCCAAATCTCTCTAGCCAGGGGCTCATGTATAAAGCTCTCAAAGGTTCGCGGTTCGCACTTCCCCTCCCCTCAGACTATCAGTGTTCCTCATTATAGGTATTTAGCTGACACAGAACAGAGAGAAGTCGAAACAGACGTGGAGATATCGTGAGAATCGAAAGGTTGACCTCATGACTGGAGGCCGCACTAACCAACTGTACTACGCCTGCTCCTATGACGTCTGTGGCTATGACGTCACAGACTTGGCTGCCAAGCCTGGAAATCCTGAAAATTGTTTTTTCTTGTGCTGGGGTTGCGGGATCTGATAAACTGGGAATGGGATTTAGGTGAG